AGCGTGGCCTCGGACGCCCAGTACGTGTCCATATCCCCGCTCTGACTCCTCGTGGGGTCGGGGCACGAGCAGGGGCATGGATGAAGTGGCGATCGCCTGTAAGCCCCTCAACCCTCGACCTGCACCCTCCGCACCCTCCGCGCGGAAGGGGCCGCGCTGCCGCGGCAGCCGCCGCGGCCGCATCGCGGCGGCACCTTCCGCGCGGAGCGTGCAGGAGTTGCAGGTCGAGGGACGCCCCCCTCCTTCGCCCCAGCCCCGCGTTCCGAGGCGGGAATTTATACATGACCACCGCCCGGAGGGTCCGTCTTCGGAGCCTCGGCAGGCGGTGGATATGGACATGCTCGGGCCCCCGGGGGCCGAAATGTGTCCAGATCCGCCGCCTGCTGGGGAACCTGGACGTCGGTTCCCAAGAGGTGGATGTGGATAAAATCCCCGCCGCGCACGCGTCGCCCCGTCCACCCTCCTCCTGCTCCTCCTCCTCCTGCTCCTCCTCCTCTTCCTCCTCCTCCTCCTCCTCCTCCTGCTCCTCCTCCTGCTACTCCTCCTCCTCCTCCTCCTCCTCCTCCTAGCTCCTCCTCCTCCTCCTCCTCCTGCCTCCTCCTCCTGCTACTCTCCTCCTCCTCCTCCTCCTCCTCCTGCTACTCCTCCTCCTCCTCCTGCTCCTCCTCTCCTCCTCCTCCTCCTGCTACTCCCTCCTCCCTGTTCCTCCTCCTCCTCCTCCTCCTCTCCTCCTCCTCCTCCTCCTCCTCCTCCTCCTCCTCCTCTCCTCCTCCTCCTCTCTCTGGGGCAACCTGGGGAGGGCCTCCCCGCGGCGCGCGCGCGCGCCTCTCCCGCGGGCGGCCGCCCCTCGGCGGCCCGGCGGCGCCGGGTGTGCTGGCGGGCGGCCGCGGACCTCCTCGCCAACGCGGGCACGCAGCACGCGGAACAAAAGCGCCCCGCCGCGCGCCCGTGCTCACCAGCGGAGGAGGAGGAGGAGGAGGAGGAGGAGGAGGAGGAGGAGGCGGAGGAGGCGGAGGAGACGGAGGAGGGGGGGGGATCCCTGCGCCGCACCGCCCCCAGGACCGGGGCGGTCGTCCTCTTCCTCCTCCTCCTCCTCCTCCTCCCTCTTGTTCCTCCTCCTGTTCCTCCTCCTCCTCCTGTTCCTCCTCCTCCTCCTCCGCCTCCTCCTCCTCCTCCTGTTCCTCCTCCTCCTCCTCCTCCTCCTCCTCCTCCTCCTCCTCCTCCTCCTCCTCCTCCTCCCCCACGTCCCCCTCCTCCTCCGCCTCCGCCTGCTGCTCCCCCCCACCTCTCGGGTCGGACGGAAGGGGGGATGGGGATAGATTGGGTTGCGAGATGTGCTGCGCTCAGCTGGTTGCGGCCCCGCCGTTGGCCGATATCCTCGATGCATGGGTGCCTCCAGCGCCAGGAGGCGCCGTCAGCGTCGTCGTGGTGCATGGTGCGGGTTGCTCTGGTCGTGGCTTGTGCACCTTCTTCTGCAGTGACCACTGCCCGTCCTTCCGCTCGAGTTCGCTCTCCTGGCTCTCCTATCCTCTGGTCGTCTCGCGGGGGGAGTCGTTGGGACCTTTCGGGGCATCTCGGGGACACCTTGGAGCTTTTCGGGGTTATTGGGCCGTCCTGAGCTGGTCTCGGGGCATCTTGACGGCCTGCGGGAGCGCTCTCCGGCCGTCCTGAAGCAACTTGGCGGCCGAAGAGGACGCCGTAAAGTAAAACGGAGGGGGGAGTTTTGAACGGCGCGCGGCCCAAATGGGGGAGTCATTCTCCTCCTCCTCCTCCCTCTCCTCCTCCTCCTCCTCCTCCTCCTCCTCCTCCTCCTCCTCCTCCGCCTGCGCCTCCGCCTCCGCCTCCGCCTCCGCCTCCGCCTCCGCCTCCTCTCTTCCTCTCACTGCGCGTTTCCATGCCGCGTCATTGCCTCCACATTGCACGCGCTCGTGGGTGCTCCAGGTGTTTTTTTTCCGTGCATGGCCTCGCGTGGGCCGCCCTGCCGCGCCGGAAGCTCTTCAGAGCATGCTGCGCGCCTCCGTCTCGCGTGCTGATTCGTCTGTCTCCTCCCTCCGCCCCCTCAAAACCCTTGGCATCGCTCGGACGTGTGCATTTGTCCTTCGGCGAGGACCGTCGAGGAGCATCCTTGATCGTTTGGCGAAAAAATCAGGCACGAAACCGAAAAAACATGCTGAATGGACGTCCGAGCGATGGCGAGAACCGCCCTCCGCACCGCTCCCGCGGGCACCCGCGGGGTGGCTCGGGGGGTGGAGGGCGGCCCCTGCTCGGGCAGGCAGGCGGCCGCGAGCTGAGGCTCCGGGTCGGGCAGGCGCGGCGGGGGGACGTGCCGTGCGTCGCGGTCCGTCGGGGGTGGACGGACCTCCCACCTCCTCCTACCTCCTACCTCCTCCTCCTCCTCCTCCTCCTCCTCCTCCTCCTCCTCCTCCTCCTCCTCCTCCTACTCCTCCTCCTCCTCCCTCCTCCTCCCTCCCCTCCTCCTCCTCCTCCTCCTCCTCCTCCCTCCTCCTCCTCCTCCTCCTCCTCCTCCTCCTCCTCCTCCTCCTCCTCCTCCTCCTCCTCCTTCCTCCTCCTCCTCCTCCTCCTCCTCCTCCTCCCCTCCTCCTCCTCCTCCTCCTTCCTCCTCCTCCGCACCTCACTCCTCCTCCTCCTCCTCCTCCTCCTCCTCCTCCTCCTCCTACTCCTACTCCTACTCCTACTCCTACTCCTACCTCTTCACTCCTACCTCCTCCTCCTCCTTCTCCTCCTCCTCCTCCTCCTCCTTCGGAGGTGGACGGACCTCCTACCCTGACACGTCGATTCAGGAATTGGCCGTTCTCGGCTCGCGAGAGGGCGTCGCGGCCGTCGTTTTTGCGGGTCCAGGTCCGTCGGTCTCGGTCCCAGGCCGTTTTCACTAAGGGGAGGTTTACTAAAGGGAGGTTTGTCCACCGCCAAGTTTGGGCCAGAGAGATGTGCTTCTCCTGTGGGTGGCGCGAGAGTGTGAAGGTAACCGCATCCTGCATTCCGCGCAGCGCAACGCTCAAACTTGGACGACCCAAGCTGCGCGCAGGTCAACATCAACGAGACCATCAACGACCTCCAGATCCTCACTGCAGACCCGAAGACCGATGCCAGGCTGGGCATTGCTGCGGTCCTGTGTCCTACCTTTCTTCCTGATGATGTTTGCTCGCTTCCCCCCTAGGGAGGAGGAGGAGGAGGAGGAGGAGGAGGAGGAGGAGGAGGAGGAGGAGGAGGAGGAGGGGGGATGAAGATGAGAAGGAAAAAGGAGGACGAGAGGTGGGATACGAAGGGGGCTGCATATCTGTGCGTTGCCCATACGCGCGATCATTGCCCACTTTGGCTCTTCCGAGCATTACGTTTCCTCCCTCCAGCTTTTCATCCATCTCATCCTCCAGTCCTCCTCCTCCTACTCCTACGTCTACTTATCCTTTTCCCCCAGTTGGTCGGACCATCGGGGACGACCACACCTCGCATCCTGGTGCGATTTATTTTCTCCGTCACGCAATGCGCGGTGAATTTCTCGTATCATCTACGAGGATACGATTTCGGGCATCTTCGTATCAGCCTTCTCTTCTACCCTCTCCTCCATGGCTTTTCGATTCACCGGGAAGGTAAGGGAGATGTGGATCTTGTAAGAGGACAGTTTGCCAACCTCCATTATTTTTGCAGAGACTTGGCAACGGTTCTTAGGGTCATCGTTGCTTTGGAATCATTTCTTCTTCCCTAGTCACATGAAGAATCAATCACGCAGGCTCTTGTTAGGTCTTTTACATCGTGTAGTTCCGCAGTTCGTCCTCATGCGGAAAGTCTAAGGAGTGTCTTGCTGAGGCATCGTTGGCCAATGTTTGGCATGCCCCCTGGTCGGAAACCACACTCCTTCTATGTGCATGCTTTTTTCTAGTGCAATCATGCCTTCTTCTGCTGGCTCACGATGTGAGGCTGCGGCCTCGCGCTCCGTCCCAAAAGGGCACGCACACCTCCGCGTGCACGGCGCCGGTGCCCCTCGCTCGCCCGCTCGTCCTGGTGGGAACTCGCGCTCCTTCCAGGGCGACGGGCGCTGATCGTCTGGAGGAGGCGGCTACGCGTTCACGGCACGTCGGAGCCACGGCGCGGTTCGGCGTCGCCGTCGATATCGAGAAGCGTTGCAATCGCATCCTCCCTCTTCGCCTCCTCAGTCCCCCTGCTAACCCCCCTCCCTCATCCCTCGCCCCATCCTGCCTCCCCCCTCGCCCATTCCCTCCCTCATCTCCACCTCCGGCCCGTCTGGCCCTCTCCTTTCCCTTCCTCCCTCCGTGCCTCCCTCCTGTCCTGCCTCGCCCCGGGCGTTGCCACAAGTGCCCCTGGCCCGAGGTGCCCCCAGGATGCCTCCGCGGCCTCAAGCGCACCCCTCACGAGGCCCAAGGGGCCCAGAGGCTTCAATGGAGCGAAGAGCCGAGGGCGCCTTGGGCCAGGGGCACCTTTGGCTGCACCCGATCGCCCCCTCCTCCCGTCCTCCCTGTCCCCTCCTCGCCCCCCTCCTCGGCACGTCGTTCGTCCGCCCCCCTCCTCCGCCCCCTCCCCCCCCTGCCCCCCCCCCCCCTAGCCCTCTGCTCCCAGCACATCGCCCCCTCCACTCCTCTGACGTCCAGGAGGGGGAGGCGAAGGAACAGGAGGAGGGGGAGAGGGAGGAGGAGGAGGAGGAGGGGGAGAGGTAGGAGGAGGAGGAGGAGGAGGAGGAGGAGGAGGAGGAGGAGGAGGAGGAGGAGGAGGAGGATACTTTTCTGCAGAGCCCTCCCCTCCCCTCCCTCCCCTCCCCTAGCCCCTTGTCTCAGGCCGCCGCGGGCACAGGGCCGCCCCCGCTTTTTGGAGGTCACCCCTTCCCGCACAGAGCCTGGGGGGGGCTCACACCGAGCCCCACACTCACACACTCTTCGGTTACTACCATGTGGAACTCTCTCCTGAATTTTGTTCTGTATAACCCGCTGCATCTTGTGGATCCTTGGAGAGCAGATGACATCTCAGAGACGCTACGATTTGCAGATATTATTGTGTGCCCAGCTACGACCCAGCGGCAGAAGATGAAGCAGCCTGTCACCATGCGTCGGGCAAAGTTCCACACAGCGTATGAGTTCGGCTGGGAGAGAGGCAGATACACTAACAAGTCGGCGGGGTGCACCGTCCTGCTCCGTTCACGAGTCTTCAGACGGTGCCATGTGGTCGACGTCCGACACCCACCTGGAGAGCTGGCTGGCCGTGGCGGATTGGTGAGAGTACGGTCTGGAGTCTTTGACATCACCATCATTGCTGCATATTTCCCGCCACAGAGCAACATGACGGCCGACCATTGGCGACAATGCTGCCGCAAGCTAGCTGGATGGTTGCACAAGTCGGTGCAGGAGGCCAAACAACGGTCGCTCGTCATTGTCGGCACGGACTGCAACTGCGGGTTCGGCCTCAGACGCACTGGTCACGGCATAGCGACGACGACGGTGGACCATCAGCACATCGGCCAATACGGCAACCACTTCGAGAATGAGGTCTCCCTGGAGCTGTGGAGGCTCCTGGAGATGGAGAACATGGCCGCGGTGGACACGTTCTACCCAGTCGGCCCCTCGTACTTCGGCACTGAGTCGCAGAGCTCGCCTGATCACATCTTTGTCCCGTCCGAGGCGGTCTCGTCTACTGTACGGTGCTGCACGTTGCGTAATGCCATGCGGGACCTCCAGGCGATACCAGACTGTCGTCCGAGAGATCATGCACCTATACTGTGGCAAGTACGGTACACCTTGCAGGCGCCACCCCCACCCAAGGGTGGACCAGTGTGGGACAAGGACCTAGTCGTTCGCCTCCTCAGACACGATGGCTTTGGTGCTGAGATCCTGGGGGAGCTCGAACGTCGGTCGGCTTCGAACTTGAGGGAGTGGGAGCGCGACACGACTCGCGCTGATCCCAGTCAATCGTGGGAGAAGCTGGTGGAAGACGTGCGGGCTGCTGCACTTCCCGAGCTGATGAGGACGGCGAAGCAAGGCCCGCTGGCACCACACCTCGCCGCGCGGACCGAGGCCCTCCAGCGGCGCAGGCTGGCCAGAAGGGGCTGCTTCACAGAAGAGCAGCGTCTACAGCTTCGGACCATCGAGAAGGACATCAGGCTGCTCAAGAAGCGGCTAGACCTCGAGCACGTGGAGGAGCTGCTGACGGAGGCCGAGACCCACAGGTGCGCGGCCGACTACCACGGAGTATGGAAGCTCATCTATGCGATTGGGGCTCGCTGCCGTGGACCCCGACAGAGGTCTTTCAACGTTCCTGACCAGTACCGACCTTCACTGGATGAGTGGACGACCACAATGTGCTCGAACGCTCGGGAGGGCGGCTTCAGCGCAACAGTGATAGAGGACCCGATGCAGCCCACTCGGGAGGCCATGGAGGAGTTAGAGGAGGAGGGATTGGACTATTTCCCTGGGGCTGCACCGGCGTCGCTCGCGTACGATGACTGGTTTCGCACTCTGAGGCAACTTCGGAGTGCTGCTCGCAGGCGCTTTCCTCCTGCGCACTCGGCTCCCGCTGAGCTCTGGCGCTGGCTCATGGAGCACGCCACGAGAGAGATGACGGGATCCTGGCCAGGCTCAGAGCTGCTTTCAGAGCGTCAGTTGCAACGACTTGAGCAGCGGCTGCACGTGCCGTGCCCGCACTTCCTAGACAGACTTAGGCGCATTTTTCGCCAGATTCGCCCCAAATCACGGACGCCTGGGCAGTGGCACTGGAGTACGACCTTTCAGCTCTCAAAGGGGAACACCAAGAAGGGGACAAAAGCCATGAGATTGATCCACTGCTACTGCCCGTTTGCGAAGGCCTGGTATCGTGGACTATATCTTAGGTCAGCACATCCTCCCCTTCCTCCTCACGCACACGGGTATGCAGCACATCGATGTAGACAGAACGCACAGATAGCAGCAAACGTTCACAGTTGGAGACTTCGGAAGCTTGGGATCTCTCACCTCCTTGTTAAGAAGGACATGTCGAACGCCTTCCCCTCCACCTCGCACGCTGAGCTCGCCCGCACGGTGATGTCCGTGGTACCTTTTCCACAAGATCGAGCGTTCTTGCTCCAGAGGCATGAGGAGGCGGTGATGGAGATCAGGGCGGGGGAGCAGGTCGGGTACTTCCAACCGAAGCACGGGACAGGGATGGGGGACGGCAATGCCTGCGAGCTCTTTGTGCGCAGTTTCTTGAGGCCTGTCGAAGCCTGGCGAGATGAGCTGGGCGCCGACAAGGCCACAGTCTTCTGCAGCAAGTTGAACGCCCAGGTTCCGCTCCACAGAGCTTCGTGTGTCATGACGTGCAGTCTGACTAATGAGATGCATGACGTGTCGGTTCGAGACTACGCCGACGACATTCACCAAACGATCCCGCTCGCCACCTCGAATCCTCTTGAGGCCAGGTCCAGGGTCCTGAAGTCCAACGCCATTCTCGATCGGGAGTTGTCCATCGGAGGAGGGTTCGCCCAGAACCCTGATAAGGAGAACCGCATGCCCGTCATGGTGGGCCCTGGTGCCCACACTGCGTCCCGTGCCCTCCTGTCCCAGACGGTTCCGCTTCCTGGGGTCACGTCGTCGGAGGGCCTGTACTTGGGAGGGATGGAACAGCTGACGGCGGGGTGTGGAGCTGAGATAAAGAGGAGGGTGGAGGCTACGAGGGCGGCGTGGAGGAGGCTCGGCAGGTTCTGGGACATCACTTGCTCGATTCGCCTCAAACGTCTGGCCTTCAAGGGAACGATCCTGGCGGCGGCCTACTCGGGCCTCGAATCGTACCTCCCCTCCAAGCTCGACCTCAGGAAACTCGATTCCGTCGTGCAGGGCCTCGCTCGGGTTGTGCTCCGTGATCGTCGTCCTAAATTTGAGCAAGGCGCCCCTCCTGGTACCTGCCCGAAATATAGATCTCTCTCGGAGGCCCAGGTGTTGAGGCAACTCAGGATCACAGACTCAAGAGCGGAGCTTCTTGTGCGTCGCCTCAGACAGTGGCAACGCTACGCTCGTTATCCCGAAGACAGTGCGCAGCCGCTCACCGTGCTTTTTGGCAGCCTCGACGGCCTCGGAGAAGAGCCGACCTTCAGAGAGGACGGCCGAGTTGCTAGCACCGCCAACCCGTGGGCCCTCCAATTGGAGCGAGATGTACAGGCGCTACGGTACCTTCGCGGAGGTAAGGAGTTCGTGGAAAACTATTCTGTTCGTGATATATTTACGAGGTCGATCGTCGCTAATAGTTCCTCAGCTTTGATCCCAGATTGCTCCGAGAGGTTCCAGAGCTCCGTGGACCCCCTCGTGGTGCCCAAGGTCCCAGTGCTGGTGCCCCAGAGGATCCTGATGAGTTTGTTTGCGAACTACCTGGGGATGGGGAGGATGGGAGGTGTGGGATGGTGTTCTACGGTAAAGGGGCCCTTGTGGCCCATCAATGCCACCACCCCAGTCACAAGCATCGGGTTCCAGCGCACATGCTCGTGATCACCAATCAGTGCTTGTATTGCATGTCCACCTTCAAGAGCCAGGTCACTGCCCGACGACACGCGGTGCAATCGTTGAAATGTGGCAGGTGTCTCTGCGACCAGAGCCCTTACGCCCCACCTGTTCAGGAACCTGAGGACCTCTTCTGCCCCATTTGGCAGGACCTCGATGCTGCGTTCGGTGCATTTGTCGAGTGTATGCCACCAGGCTCGAGACACCTCGATCAGTTTCAGTCGCTTGCCGAACTCCAGCGACACATACGTGACGTTCACGCCCCGCCGCCGCCAGATCTAGCATCGACAGAGTGGGATGGACCTGGCAACCCGTGCTATGAGCCAAGGCGCAGAAGAACGAGCGAGCGCGCTGAGGTCCCGCAGCGGAGACCGAGGCAGAGGCGCACGGCGAGGACCTCGGGGCCCCCCGCCCCGCGCCCCAGCGGGGGGAGGCTCACCGCCAGCGGTCCGACCTCAAGGGGTGGCAGTCGTCGCTGGTGGGGGAGGTCAGCAGGGCGGACGGCAGCAGCAGCAACCACCGCAGCACGGGCACCAGGGCGTGGCCAACGCGCTGAGCCAGCTCTTCCAGAACGCCGACCTGACGTACGGGCTGCAGCGAGGCGACGTGATGGGCCTGGGCGACGAGGCGTTCCCACTCGAGCTGATCCAGGCCATCTTCCCCGTGATGGTGCGCGCGACGCTGAAGAACATACAGGGTCTCTCGGCCCTGGAAGCAGCCATCTACCACATCATCCACTTGGATCGGGATCACGACGTCTGCAAGGCCATGAGGATCACAGCCAAGTTTTACGTAGACGAGGCCAATCGCATTCGCCGAGAGCACGCTCAAGAGATCCGAGACCAGCAGCCAGTGGAGGACTTGGAGAAGCTGGGCGTGCCGCACCCCCACCTGTGGTTGGCGCTAGTGGGCGGAGTGGTGCAGCAGGGAGAACGCGTAGGAGCCGCCAATCATCTCGCCCTGAAGCAGTACCTCGACAACATCAAAGCAGATGGAACCATCACGAACGACAGCCTGTGCATGCAGATCCGACACTGCAAGATATCGTACACTCACGATCGCAAGCTGATGAAGATACATCTCGAGGCGCAGGGATCAGGCGTGCAGACACAGTTGCTCGACTCCTTGAAGCAGCTCGGGGGAAAGCTAATGAAGGGCACGCCACCTCGCACGCACCAAGAGCGCTTGATGCAGCTTTTCCTAGACAACGCAGAGACGATCTAGATGTTGCTCAGAGGCCACCGACTACTCCGCAGAGTGGCAGATCAGAGACGCAGGTAGCTACTGGTAGAGGGACGCCGACCTCGACTACTCCTCTGAGTGGCAGCACCACATCGCAGATAGCTACTGGCAGAGGAGCTGCGACTTTGACGGCACCTCCCAGTGGCAGCACCGCATCGCAGATAGCTACTCCCTCCCTGTTTGCACCTCCCTCTGCTGCGAGTTCGATAGGCCGGGGAGGAGGAGAGAGGGCGCCAGTCTTACAGTCGAATTCTCAGGTAGTAGTTCCGCCACAGGCGGCGGGAACCCTTCCTCTCCCCCCTCGTCTTCCTCCTCGCTCGAGCCTCGGGTCTGACCCTCCTCGCCTCACCTCTTCCTCCAGCTTGAATGCCAGCATCCTGAGGTTGATCGGGGCTGCCCCCAGGAAATATCAGTAGCCTGACACAGCTCAGGCGGCTTTCGCCCTTTCGCGCCCTCTAGTGGTGGGCGCCAATGTTCTTGCGTTCTTTTTTCTTGTGTTGCTTGGTCCTGGGGCCCCTGGTCTGCGGTGTTTAGCTGGACCCTGGGTGCTGGCTGCCCCTAGTCTTTTGTGGCTTTTCGACTTAATTTGGGTTCCCGCCCGCCTCAGTCTTTCTCGATGGTAGTTTCCCGAAGAATTTTGTGGTGCTCAGCCCGCTTCTGGCCACAGGGATATGTCCGTTCTGTGAGTCGAGGAGCGCGTGAGCCCCCCCCACGTGCTAAGTCACCGCATAAAATGCGCACTCGAGGAACCAGAGCTAACTTTTTGTTTTCAGTTTCGGCCGAACTCAGACTCGCGTTCCTGATGAGCCCGCCGCCGCCGCCCCTCCCCTCCCCTCCGTGCCTCCCGAGCCCCCCCTGGGCAAGCCGCCTCGGCGCGCCAGGCTCGGCAAGGTGGGCACCTGAGGAGCCCGGCCGCGCGAGCGGCACCCCCTCCGGGCGCCGGGGCCCGGGCCCGTGGACCCGAAGCCGTTTTGGGGGGGGCGGCATCCCAAGACGGGGCGCCGGGGTCGGGGAGGGGCCCAGAGAGCCAACGTCTTGAGAGAATCGAGACGGAGGGTTTTTCGCAAGTTTCGGCCCCTATAGGGGGCCCTCGCCGGGCCCCGGGACCCTCAAGGAACGACTCGAGTCGTTTCTTGAGTCGAGTCGGTTTGTCATGCCGATCGGGATGACAAACGACCCGAGTCGGTTTGTCATCCCGATCGGGGTGACAAACCGGTCCTGGGGAATGGGTCGAGGCTTCCGGGGACCGCGCATTGAAGAAGTCACGACGTCGGATCTCTGGGGAGGGGGGAGGCCCAGCCCTGATCGCGTCGTTACAAAATCAGGACGGCGAGTTTTGCAGTATTTTCAGCCCCCAGGGGCCCTCGCCGGGCCTCGGGAGCGTCAGAAAACGACTCCGGATGAAAAACCGGCCCCAGGGAAAGGGTCTGGATTTCGGGGACGCCGTAGTTTTTGAAGAAATCAGGACGTCGCATGTCTGGGTGGGCGAGGAGGAGGAGGAGGAGCAGGAGGGTGGTGGCAAAGGCTAAGCTCGGCCTGAGAGCGACTGCACCCACCTGGCAGGGAGACGCGGGGGGGGGGGGGATAGGAGGCGGAGGAAGGAGGAGGAGGAGGAAGAGGAGGAGGAGGAGGAGAAGGATAAGGAGGAGAAAGCGAGGAGGAAAGGATGCGGAGAGGGGCAGGAGAAAGAGGAAGAAGAGGATGGGGGGGGCGGATCGTGGGGGAAGGGGAGAACAAGGGGGGTGGAGGAGGGAGGAAGGAGCAGAAGCAGCATGGGCCATGACCCCGCGCTCGTGTTTGTCGACTCCGCTGAGACCGCCGAGTTCGACAGCGGGCGACGATCTCAGCCTCCGACAACCCGGGCCATGAGGCCTGAAGTCCGAGTAACCTTGCGTTTTGTCATTTCGCCCCAGGCCCCGTTCCCCCTCTCAGGTGACTTCCGAGTGAGTCCGATCCGATCCGCTTGCTCACGGACGGCGGCGACAAGTGTTATCATAGCAGATTAGACGACGGCGACATGGATTGCCTTGGAGATGAGGAGCGAGATTCAGCTCATCCCCTAAAAGATCTTCGAATAGTGGTGTACGCATGGCATCATCAGAGGGTTTCTGGAACCCGCCCGCCGAATTTCTCCCGCTTCTGAGGCCTCACCAGAAGCGCCATCCGCAAGCGAATCCCAGCTTCAACGATGCAAGGGCGACAAGCCGACCAGTGGTGACTCAGCCTGCTTGCGGAATGCCCACCGGCACTTTGCTGTTCGGTCGCACAGCTGCCACCAATCGAAACGTTGTTCCCACCTGGCAGCCGCATGCGAACCCTGCAGTCACACCGCTGGCACGAGGACCAGCTTATTATTGGCAGGGGCTCGTGGCGCCATGTGTCCTTCCTTCGGTTTGTCTTCGAGCATTCCTCGTAACAGTACATCGGCACAGCTGGGGCCCAAGAGGAGCATCGTTCCCCGCTTCATGTTTCTCCTGGCACGGCTGGGCCAATGCGAGTCCAAACGACACGGGGGGGCCTGACACCCTCGCAGACGGCCTTCGAATTCTGAGCCCCCGCATCGTTTCTCAAACCGGGCGCGCAGGGGGTGGGTGCGCGTGTGGCGGCCTGACCCCCTGGCCCCCTCGCCGTCTAGAGAGCGAGCGCCCCCCTGCCTGACCTCGGGGATTCAGGGGTCTCACGATCAACCTTCAACTTCCGCGAGGACCCCTTCAGTGCAAGCACTGATTGGGGAGTAAACGTACATTTTCGGCGCTCCGCGCGGATTTCTCTGATCCGCGCTGGGGCCTCCTGGCGGCGCCTCCGGCGCCGCCCCTGGCGCGCTCCGCGCGCCAGGGAGGGGGGGCCCCTGCTTGACCTCGGGGATTCAGGGGTCGGGGCCTGCTCTCCGGACTCGTTCTCTGGGTCACGGCGCTCGTGCGTCGCGGCCAGGGCCAGAGCGGTGACCCTTCTCAGGGAGGGCGGCGCGACGGCGTGATGCCGCGAAGGTAACTGCGCATCGCGGGTCGCGGGTCGAGATGTGTGAAGTCAGGTGGCCAGGTTCTAAACGGCTTGCTTTGCTTGGCATCACTTGGACGTGCGCATTTTTCCTCCGGCGAGGACCATCGAGGAGCGTCCTTGATCATTTGGCGGAAAACCACGCACGAAACCGAAAAAATCACAGGGAGTGGACGTCCGAGCGATGGCCAGCCTGTGGTTTTGGGCGGGGGCACTCTTTCGATCGGCCAGGGTGCGCCGCCCGCCGAGAGGGGTCCTCACGGCGCCCCACCCTCCGTGCGCCGCTTGCTCGCCGCCAGCTCTTACTAGCAGGATTGCGGGCCGCCGCGCGGCGCAGGAGGAGGAGGGGGAGGAGGAGGAGGA